TATCTGGTTTACCATTAAAGTTACCGATGTCAAGAACCCTTGACATCATTAGTCTCCTTACTTAGAGTAGCTAATCACACCCGAAATGGTTGTCAATACCAATGTGATCCATTGATAACATTAACTATTTTCGACCCGGAATAGTTCAACTTATCTTTTTCATTTAACCAAGAGTAAACATGCTGATATTAGTAATCTTTACTAACATCATTAGTCATTTAATTGCTCGGGCTCAACTAATCAATTTAAGAAATGTTTGTACTGATGAAACTCCATCGATACCCTTAATTATCTAAACCTGGATAATTAATCAATGCCATCTAAATCTTTTATTCGTACCAAACCCCTTTTATTTTTTTTATTAACATCATATGCATTGTAACCATAGTTGTCAAGTATTATTGGCATACAATCTTAGTTATTGACTTATAATCACTAAGCATCTTCACATAACCTTTGTTACCCTCATCACAATGTCAAGTATCAATTTATGCTCTTAGCCACTGTCATTATGATGCTAAGTATCATTATAATGTATCATTATAATGTATCATTAGCCATCAACACTATAGTGACAAACTATCTATCAATTCTCCTATAATCTCCAAATCATTGTGTGTACCCAATAACCACATTAATTAATTTGCTCAATATCTTAGTTATATATTAATTATTTTACTCATAGCCTTTATAATTTACTACTTCTAACTTTAATCAATTAATTCAATCTATTCAAAACTTAAATATTCAGTTAGCTCATCTCAATTGTCAATAATTCTAGTAATTTCATATAATTACCCACACATTTAGTTAATGTTCCTCAGTTACCAATAAATCTGGTAATTCTATATGAATTACCCAACCTCCGGCTAACCTCTTTTGTTAGCCAATCAATCTAGTAATTCCATACAAATTACCCTATATCTAGTTAACTTCCTTGTTTACCAATAAACCAGTAATTCTTTTAATTATCTAAAAAATCCGACTAACCCATCTTGGTTGCCAAAATCATTCTGGTAATTCCATACGAATTACCCAGCATCCGGCTAATCTCTTTTCTTAACCAATCAATTTGGTAATTCCATACGAATTAAGCCTGTATTTAAAATGAGAATTTACCACAAATTAAAGGTATCTTATATTATTAGATATATTATTATAAAACATGGCTTAGGAAAACCAAGATCGAACCATAAAGAGGTGAACTATATAAAATTATAAACAATAAATGAAAAGGAGTTGAGGAGAATTGTTGAGATGTGATATTGATATAAGGATTAAACAAGGATAAAATAATTATCAAGGTTAAAGGATCCACTAATGGTATTTCAAACAAGTATAGTATAAACTCTTTTTATTACTTAACTGGAAATCACACACAAATGAGGTTCTTATCGGATTATAAATTACTAACATGATTACATTAATTATCTTATTCAAGTAAAGCCAATACTTGTAAATATTATAAGGTATTTATGGTGATAACTTGTGTTAATAACAAATCAAGTTCCTTTCATAGCTCAGATGTCGGTTATACCATATAGTTGGGCTATAAAAGTGTTAAGTATTTGTTATACCAAGGGTTATTCAACATAAATCTAGATTAGCCATTTAACAAGTAAGGTATTAAAAGGAAGTAAGATAATAAACACAAAGTATCAAACATTAAAGTCCATATTAAATTTATATTATACTTATTCTTACACCATCATTATAACCTTATACATCTAGTGGAGAAATGTACAACCTTGGGGAAGATCATGACATCCAAACTAAGTTTTTATCTTTAACTAGAAAAGTCGAAGCATTATTTAATCTTTACATTAATATTACATCTTAAAGTCCTCTTTAACTCATTATCAGCATCAACATTTATAATTTATAAAGTTAACCTCCATGTGGTTCGACACCGGTCTTGTCGGATTATTTATTACTTCAACATTCCTGCATTTAGGATAAAATATTATTTTTTTGATCGTATCAACCTACAACCTATATATGCTACCATTAAGGTAGTATATGGATATGAGATATGAACATTGAGTTTTCATATGTGATACACTTATGTAAATGTTATGTCAATATGATGGTAGGACTAAATGTTAGAAACTTGTGAAGTTTTTCATGCTTATTGATTGAATCATTCACTACGTTATACTCATTAGTAGTTGTTAAATTATTTTAAGTTGATAGGCTACCAACTAAAGCATTTTTAAAGGGTATATTATTAATTAAATTAAATTAAATGAACTAGTTGTCACAACTTTGAAAATTGAATTTTGCCAAACAAGAATTAGATTTTTAGGGTATAATATTTATCAAGGATCTGTAGCTCTAATTAACATAGCAATTGAGTTTTTTGATAAATCCCTTAATTAAATAAAGTATAAGACTCAAGTTTAAAGGTTTCTTGGCTATGTCAATTATGTCTTAGATTTATTTCCAAATCTTAGAATAATTTGTCAACTTTTCTGTAAAAGACTCAAGAAAAATCCTCCCATCTAAAGTCTTCAAATGATTGAAATCATTAAGTCTCTCAAAAGTTGATCAAAAGTATCTTTTACCTAGGTATTCTAGATCTTTAGGCTCTCCTTGTTATCGAAACTGATGTTTTAAATATAGATTAAAAAGGGATCCTCGAATAGAAAGTTCAAGATCATGAACAGGTTGTCCATTATCATTATGGTATATGGTTGGGTTCTCAAATAAAATATTCAACCATTAAAAAAAAGATTTTATTAATTGTTTTATGTGTATTGTCTTTTTAAAATGATTTATTCCTTAAAATATTACTTTTAAGAATTGATTGTCAATAAGTGAAACATGTCATTGAAAAAGATATTCAAAAAATTTTATCAATTATTTTATGCATGTCGTCTTTCCAAAATAATTTATTTTAAAAAAATTATTTTTATTACTAATTATCAATCAATGAAATGTGTCATTAAAAAAGATATAATTATTATCTCAAAACAAAATTTTACTAAAAAGCAAGCTATACTTTCTAACTTTTATTTTGAAATTGAATTTATCAAAGGTGATATTGATTTTCTTTAGAAAATTTTTACAGGTTCAAGATGAGTATTTCAATCAAAAAAATTAAAGAGTCATATATCATAATCTCTTCGAGAACAATTTACTTAACCTCAAGTTTTTTTAATTCAACCAAAGTCAAGCCTTTTTCATGAGATTAGTTTTCACCTTAACCAACCAGTTCTCAATCCTGTCAAATTCCCTTGGTTATACCACTTCATCTTTAAACTTTTTTCAAGCTTTACAAACCCTAGCACAAAGCCTCATTTCAAATACATTATCAAGATTTTTTTAAAAAAAATTATCAACACATATAAATCAAGGAATTATTATATATATATTTTTTGAATAGGAAAACAAAACTATAATGAAGAATCTAATAAAATCATTCTTTATATTTTTCATTCTTAATTCTAATTTTTCCTGAAACAATTGCAAAAAACCAAACAATTTTATGAATTTATCTTAATTGACACTTATTTAATTGAAATAACTCATAATCATGATATAAATAATTCTTCTAGAATTGCATATTTCAAAATAAGAATTTTAAAAGTTTTAACCTATCAATATTGAAACTAAAATCCTATACCTAAAAGAGATTTTCTTATAACTTTCAACTTTCTAGATTTAGTTATCTTAACTATCAATAAGTATAGTTCAATATTCTTTATTTAAAAAATTATAATCATTCTTGGTTTATTTATTTTGATAAAAGTTGTTCAAGAATTTTCCAGCATGGTTTCCAAACAAACAGTGGTAATACTTTTTTTTAACATATAAAATTCTACCTCAAAATATTTTGGAAGCATTGGATCTATTTGCATTAAATAAACTTTCAAAATATATTCATGCATCCTTACACTTCATCTCCACCTTCTGGGTCCCTTAGATCATCAGGTAGGACTTCATAATAATGCATAAGTTAAAATTAGTATTTTTTTTCAATAAAAAGTTTATGTTTTGTATTTATGTTTCTAAACATTAAAAAAACTATTTAAATATTGTTGAGTTTTGAAAATATCCGATCCATCAAAGTTATTATAGAAAATGTCGTATTGTAATGATCATAGCAATCCTTACCTAATTCACTTTCTCAATTTTTTCAGCAGTTTATATATTACTTCTCTAAATTTTTATTCTTTATTTTCAAATAAGAAATTATTGTTCGTAATGAAATTTACATGAAACGATCATATCATTTAATATGTGATCTTAGTTATATCTTTAAAATATTTTTATAATACTTTTTTAATTTTTATAAATAATATCTTTAATTGAATTTAAAATTCTATGGCGTTTAAAGTTTGTATATCAGAAAATTTATTTAAAAAAAAAACAAATGAAGAAAAGTACCAAAACATGGGATTTTAAGAGTTTTTATGCATTAAAGAGTATGAAAATCTTTGTAATTTGATGAATATATTTCTATTGAAATAAATCATTTGTTAGAAACTTGAGTCAAAATTATTAAATTTTAACTTACAAAATTGAACTTATTCTACCTCTTTTTTCCAAAAAAAAACATTAAATTATTTTTATCAAACCTGCTTTTAATTTAAAATTATTCTAATTTATTTTTCAAAATAATTCTTGAACTATAATTTTAATTTAAAATTATTCTAATTCATTTTTCAAAATAATTCTTGAACTATAATTCAAAATTAAAAATAATTTTTTTATATAAATTTGTTACATCTTCATTTATTGAATTAAACGGAACGATATCTATGGTAAGAAAGATCTGATTTAAGATTTAGTTTAACAAATCACGTCATTTCATCGAGAACTTATTTTGCCAAACGCCCAACTAGATTATTCCAATAGGGTTCCCATTTCTGAAGGAAACAGGTATAATCACCCAACTTTCGAGCCTGGATTTTGCCCAGTAGCACAAACCAAGGCATGAGATGGTTGAAGGGAGTAAAAACCATAGGAACAGTAGCCTGTCCAAAAATGGTGCATATATGTGGAGAGCTAGATTGCTGCGATTACATTCGGGCAGGTAAACAGGCATTGCAAAAGAAAGTTATATAAATTAAAAACATACAACTGTTTAGCGCAGGACCCTGCCTAGTTCAGTGAGTTTTTCATGTCTTCCGTGCAAATACATGAAAGAAATTGGAGGTTTCACTCCTACCTCACATTAACAGCAGCGCTGGCAACAGCAAAGGATTATTTCGAGAGCGCCAGCGAAAAACCAGATGTTTACACATATAACCTAGTCACAGAATCCATTTCCCGCATGCACACAGCAAACGGAAATGAAAAGGCCGCATCCATTCCCTAAGCTAGCCTCTCCAGTTGTCCTTCATTAGCCTTATCTTTCGAAGAGCTTCAACGGGGGAATGGCAACCAACCTTTGCCTGTAACAAAACAAGCCAAAACAAGTTATCAGATCAGCATTGTCGGGGGTTGGTGAAGCAAAAACAGGGAAAACATGACAGACCACATTCCATTTCCAGAATAGTATTACATGTCATCTCCTTAGCATAGGATTCATGCTGTTAAAATACAGTCAAAATCCCAATCTTGTTAATGAAAAGTGAACCTGAACATCTGGAAGCTCTGCACGCATGAATGGATTTGTCTCCATTTCTTCCTCTATAGTTGAAGGAATGGTGGGGAGCCCTGCTCTGTGTTGTTTCTGAGCCCATGATAGCTTCTCCTGAATCTTTACATTGTCTGGCTCAACCGTCAAAGCAAACTGCAAGTTCTTCACAGTATACTGGGGAGCACAAAAGCAAATGTCGCAGGACATCAAAAGTAGGGAATGACACTCCAAAATAGACTGGGATCAACAAAGCAGTTAATAGAACTTTGCATTTAGTTGAACTTTTCCAATTAAGATTGGAAATTAATTTGTGGACATAAGAGTTCCTCCGGCAACTTGGGAAAACAAAACTCACTACCACGCTTGAATTCTACCACAAAGCACAACTTGGCGTGGCTTACTCCCACACCCAGCTTGAGTTAAATAATGCATCACAATGTTTCTCATTTGCATTGGTAAATAGCATCTCATTGCTTTCCATTATATTAGATATATCTCTAGGGAAAGCATTGACCCTTGCCCCTCAATCGACAGAAACAAACAGCACACACCCCCTCTCAAGTCAAAACTCTTTGTACTTGAAACTTGCATGGGCCCATATTATCTTTTGCTTAATTTTTATTAAATAAATGGAAATGATTAAATTCGAACTCATGACTGTTTGGTCATCAAAACTTTGATACTATATCAAAGAACCATCTCAACTCAATAGCTTAACCTGTTAGGTGAGACCTCAAAATATGATTTATATTATTTTCTAACATAAAAGAGAAGGAAAAGAAACATACACAACACATGCATACAATTTATTTGATTGTTATGGTACTAATTGAAGTCCACATTAGCTGGGAGCATTCATGCATCCAACCCCAACTTCTCATCCACAAAAGATAAGAAAATTTTAACCAATTTAAAGGTACTGAAAAGAAAAATGAAACTAAATAAAGGGAAAAAAAATCCTGACCTCATGGCCACAATAAACTTGAGTAGGCTTTGGCAATGAACCCAATGTTACACAAAGTGACTGATACATCTGTTCTGCTGTGCCTTCAAAAAATTTCCCACAACCAGCAATAAACTGCACATCAATGTGTATTTGCATGAAGCTGATAATTGCTTCAAAGCTCTCTTCAATGAAGAGAGGATAAGAAATCTCCCAGACAAAAGAATTTCATCTTCATACTGTTATCTTAAAAAAATTCAATCCAATAAAAACAACTGATGAGCTTGAGGGCATCCTTTGAACTTACCAGTGTGTCGCCAGTAAAAACAGCTGGGTCCTCTCCCTCCTTGCCAGTCACATAATAACTTATGTGGCCTTTGGTGTGACTGATAATAGCAAGTCGAAGAAAGAACAGAGAGACAAAAAACGAAATAAAAATATATTACAAAAGCCTCATGAGAGAAAAAATCAAGGAAATAAGAACGATATGTCTCCACAAAACAAGACAGAAATGCAACATATATGTGTGTGTGTGTGTGTGTGTGTGTGTGTGGAAAAAAAAACAAAATAAAGAAAATCCCACGCCCTCGTAGTTTGATTGTGAAAGGGAGAAGGAATGTTGTCCAGTCCTTCATATCCCTCAATCAAACATGTACAATTTCAGCAAATGCATTCCCAGGAGAAGTAATCATTACACTTCGATAATGTAAATAAAATGCAAGGAAGTGTTCTAAAAAATTGGTTAGCCTCAAATATATATAAAGCACAACTGGATAACATCAAGAAACAAAGAAGCTAACTTCACTGATATTCAAGAATCCAGCTTTGCTTAACAAGCTAACTTTCACTATAATAATTGAGCAAAAAGCCAAATATCTTAAAAAAAAAAAAAAAAAAAAAAACACCATACCAAGGAGTGTGAAGAGCCAAAATATTAACATCAGCACCCAGTGAGACCTTGTCACCATTCCCCACTTTATCAGTGCAACCCTTAACATTATCAAGTGAGCCACCATACACCTTAATTCCAGGCACCATCTCCTTTATCTTCTCATTCCCCCCAGCATGATCCCTACCAAAACACAGTTTGATTGATTACTACTTACTGTACATGGTTACCCAGGGTGGCCCATATAATCAATTTGAGTGAGTGAGCCATTAATAAATCGTTTAGAGTATGAAACATTCCACTAAAAAAGGAAAAAAAAAAGGCAGATATGGAATAGCCAAAAAAAAGGAGGAGGATATTGAAGAGTAAAAAAGAAAGGACCAGTGATGGTGAGTAGTGAGGACGAGCTTGAGATGGAGCCCATGTTCATTGGCAGCATTAACAAGCTTCTCGGGCTCGACTGGATCAACAACCGCTGCTTCTTTAGTGCTCTCATCAATGATTCTAAGAAATTATTCATATAAGTATAATAACAAGTCAATAATCTTGTATATATTCGAATAATTGAAATCCCAACAGTAACATAGATATCCAGGTACTCACAGGTAAGAGTAGTTGTCTTCTAAGCAAGGAACGTGAAATATCTTCATTTCTGCTGTAACTTCAATTACTCGGCTGGGTCAAAGAAGAAGAAGCCGGAGCAGGAGCTACAAAATAGGACAGCACACCGCACACTGTTGGAAGCTGTTTTTGGGTTTTTTTTTTTTAAGTAAATTTTAGAAAAGCAGATTAATTTTTTATATTTTGTAATGCAGTGAAAAGTAAATTAAAAAATACTTAATATTTGATCATATTATAAAAAATAAATTGAAATATAATTTTTTAATTTTTTAATTTTTTAAAATTTATTAAAATAATAAAAAACAAATCTTACAAATTAAAAAATTCAATGAAAATGAAATTAAAGAAATTTAATTTCATAAACTATTTAAAATAAAATGAATAAAAATCAAATTTAAAAGATAAAAAATTTTAAAAAATAAAAAAATAATTATTATTTCATAAATTATTTCAAATTAAATAAGTAATAATAAAAAATAATGATCAAATTTGATGAATAAAAAAATTAATTAAAAAATAAAAATAATAATAATAATCATTTTTATAAGGGCCAAATTTAATATAACACTTACATTTTAAATGATGAAATTAAAAAAATATTTAAAACAAAATATATATAAGAATAAGATCAAATTTGATATAATTAACAAATAATATAGCATTTCTAAATTTTTCATAACTTTTATAAAATGCTTTATATTTAAAATAAAAATATATATTTTTAAAAAAACTAAAGCAAATTTTTCTTTACTAAAAAATATTTTTTATTAATTAAACTTTTCTAATGACAAAAAAATATAAAAAAATTTAAAAAATAATTTCTAGAAAACCACTTTTCATCAAACAAATAAAGCTTTAAGGAATAATAGAATGTTTTGTTTCTCAAATATGGATTCTATCATTGTATTATAGCTATAATTAGATTTGTTATCCATGCTCCAAAGTGAGCTAGGTAAGTTTTTTTTAATGTAAATAAAATATTAGGTTAAAAAAATCAAAGATTTGAAGATTCAATTGATAATTTAAATAATATGAACAAAACAATATCACAATAATAAATAATTTTTTAAAAAATAACAACAAAAAAATGATAAAAAAACCAGACTGGAGCTCATCTAGATTATTAAATAACTAAATATTAAAGGGTGAAACTATAAAAAAACTAAAAACAATCTAAAAAACTAAAAAATAAAAAAATAAAAAAACTCTATTAACTCGAGTGAACTCAAAAAGCCAATGATTATATATATAAGACTGGGACAATCTTATATAAAGAAAAGCAAAGAAAATTTTTGAAAAATAAAATTAAAATAAATTAATTTTAAAAAAAACTTACATTAATTTTTAAAATCGGTGATTCAAATCATAAATTTAGGGCTAATCCAAGATTTGAACGCTAAATAAATCAATATAAAAAAAAGTTTGGGTTCTTAAAAAATCAAAAAGTATATAAATATTTAAGGAATCGGATTAATATTAAATAAATTGAATGAAAATTAAAGATAAAATTAATTAAAATTATTGGGTGAAATATGAGCTTTTTATTATAAAATTGGATTTTTCAAAATTATAAATCAAAGTAATATTAAATATTACACAAAATCTTCCTAATATTTTTTTCAAGATATAAATTACAAATATATATATATATATATAATGGATAACTTAAAGTAATTAATTCATTTTATTTTAACATTGATTTGACAAGACGACAATGCAAAATTTGCAAGAATATTATTTTTATTGATCGGGAACAATATTATTTTGAAAGGGAAAAGAACCCTGAGTCGGAAGTTCAAAAGTTTGCTGGTTAAAGTCATCAATGTCAAGCCATTGAAAAAAAAAAAAAGTAAAAAAATTTTAAAAAAATAAGAACGAAAGTTAATATAAAAATTAAATTAAACTAAATTTTAGGGAATGAAATTGAAAAAAAAGATTAAATAAAATATATAACAATAAAAAATTTAAAAATCAAATTTGAAATAATTAGTAAATAATATAATATTTTTAAATTTTTCATAACTTCTTAAAAGTATTTTCTATCTAAAATATAAAAAAATACTTCCTTAAAAATCAAACCAAATTTTTCTTTAATAAAATAATATTTTTTAATAATCAATTTTTATAATAATAAATAAATATAAAAAATTTTAAAAAATAATTTTTCAAAAACTATTTTCCAACAACAAACATATCCTTTTATTATCTAATTTTAAGAGATTAAACCAATTCAAATAATACATTACAGATATCCTATTTTTATAATACCCTAGTGAAAAGTCAGAAAATGGCTTGAATATTTGACAGGGCTATGTGGCGCGTGTGAATCACGCGTAAAATTATTTGCTTCTTGGAACAGACGCTCATGAAGCTCGTTTGCCCCTTCAATAAAGCCGAAGTTCAATTTGTTAAAATTTCCCTTGTATAGAACGAGGGAGAGCGGCTAAAGATTTATTATAATTTTCCTTGTATGGAAGGAGAGAAAGGCCAAGGGTTTGGCTGGGTTTTGGAGACTATGATTTTGGATCGAGAGAGGGCTACTCGTTTCTGTCTAAACTGCACTAATGTGTTGACTCACTATGGAGAGATGTTTTGGGTGAGTTGGGGTTGCTGGATCGGTGAAAGATGATTGATGATGGTTGTTATTGGTTTTGGGAAGAGGCAGAGTGACTTGGTTTCGTGTAGGGGGAAAAGAGATGAGGGTTGGGGGGGTAATTAGACTATTTATATTTAAATTATTTAATGCTCACTCTAACTTATTTTTTACTTGGTGTTTCTTGCACTTTTGCATCCATAAAGTATTTTTTTTCTAGTATTTAAATTGAATTATTGGATGTTTTAAATTCAAAGGTTAGATTTTGATATATTAAAAAAGTTGTTATCACATTTTTTTTATGGTTTATGAATAAATAATCATATCTTTTAAAGGATTCATCTTCTTGATAGATAACTAAAAATGTTAATTAATGGCCACTCATTATTATAAAAACAAGTTATTCTGCTGTTTTAAAACAATTTTTTTCTCACTGTGTTCTTGCAATAATCAAACTAAGTTTTTTATGTTTTATTAAAGAAGAATTTATCTTATTGCTATGAAATTAACTTTTGGCACCTTTTTATTACTCATAAAATTATATTTGCTTTCAATATTTAATTAAAAAAAATATTAAATCTCCTTAAAAAATAATTATTCACCAAGATTCAGAATATTATTCATTATAATAGTATAATAATAAAATTACTCATGAGCAATACTATCCTTGAACTAGATATTAGAGGCAAAGTAGCCTTTTACAATGACACAATTATCTTTTATATATTGTATGGGGCTAGATTAGTCATTTTATTTTTTATTGCACAATATAATTATTAATTCAACCTTACAATAAAAAAAATATAATGCCCTTCACTCATGAGTGTTTTGGTCTTTTTAATTTTTTTTAAAATAGTGTAAATATTTTATTGTCCTTTAAGACAAAATCAAATAAATTCTTTTGCAATGGCTTTTTAGTGTTTTTGCCATGGTTTTTTTTTTATAACATCATGTTAGTTTAAGGCTATTGTTATATTTTAATAAATGTTAAATATTATATAAAAAACTTTGTTAATATGTTCGTTGCATGCACCAATAAAGAAATGGCTATTGCACCATTCGAGGGGAACGTGGGTGGCACCTGATCTTCAAACGCCAGCTTCATCGATAGTGTTGGAATCCCCACGACACCCTTCCCGTGATGGAGTAATGTATCTTTCAAGATTTATGTCAGTTTGGTATTGATAACCTTTCCCCCCTTCCTTTCTCTTTCCTTTTGGATTTTTGTGTAAGCCCTTTGAAGATTCATAAACACCCTTTTTATTTTTTTTCAATTCTTCATATTTAATTCATTTTTTTTATTATATATTTTTTTTATTTTGAGTAATTTATGAAATTGAAATGCATTTTCAATTTTACCCCTCTTTAAGTTTTTCATATTTCAAATAGATTCTTATTCTTTTTATTGTTATTTGTTTTGTTTGAGATGATTTTTAAATTTTTTTTATGATTTCACCCTTATTTGTTTTTTTAATCAAATTCGATCTTTATTTTTTTATTTTTATCTTTTTGCTTTAACAAATTTTTCAAATTGGCTGGTAATAAAGTTTCTTGATTGAACTTAGATTCATGATTTTACAGGTTACGAGTTTTCAGGATTTGATCAAGTTTGAGAAGTTTTCCCGGGCTTACTTAGTTTTCATAGTTTTCTTTGCCTATGTTAATTTTTTTTTCTTATTTCATCTTTTAATATTTATTCAATTCGAGACTAAGTTATGTGTTTTTTTTAACTTGCTTTTTGTTGAATTCTTTTTTGGTCTTGAAAATGAAATAATTATCTTTAGTTTTTTGTATTTATTTTTTTTATTGGGTCTTGTGAAAGAATAATATACCACTTGAGTGTTATTATGATAAACTTTTTTGAAGCGACTCTCTATTTAACAATAAAAAAAGATATTCATAAGAAAAAAAATAGATACACTCATGGAGGAAGAATGATTTCTTTCATCAAAATTGTATTTTTTGATTCATATGTATGTATATTTTTCTTATTTTAACAACAAAGCTATTTTTTTATTAGTAACACAGTTCATTAAGTATAGAGTAAAAGCAATAAGATAAAAAACTATTAAAAAAATATAATGATTTGAACTGAAAAAGTTGTGTATATTTTCAATAAAATAATTTAATTTTCTTATTTATGCCGTTGTGTATATTTTTAATAAAATAATTTAATTTTCTTATTTATGCATTTATTTTTTATTTTTTTAAACAACAACATGTTTTTTTAAGAGAAACATTTATTTCTAAGTAAAATCTTATTATGATAGTTAAAGCATGTTTTTGTAAGAAATTAAAAAAAAATTACGAATCAATTATTTGTATAAATCTATATGAAAAGGAATATAAAAACAATAAATTTTGGAAAATTATATAAAGACTACAATAAAAAAATAGATATGATTTTATCATTCAATATTAATAAAAAAAATTATTTTAAAATATTCACATACCATGCTGACACCTAATTATTCATAAATCAAATGATAAAATCATAACAAAAAAACCCTAATCTTTTAAAAACAATGACATAACTAAATAATCACTTA